AACTTCTTTGTGTGGAGTCCGGTCAAACCCGGGTGGCAGCCATGTTTGTTTTTATTATTAAAGGACGCATATGCGCATAATAATTCCATAATGAATGAATGAACTGTATTGTTCCCGTGTAAAAAAAGAGTAGGTTACATAGGGTGTTTGCAACGATAAAGAATTTTTGTTAACATGTTAACAAGACAATTTATTTTTGAAAATAACTAGAATGAATTTACTTAAAATTTACAAATAAATAAATATGTATAAAAATAAATACACAACAAAATTATTAAAGAAATTTAATCTCTAATTTTGGTCACAGCTAAAATAAAGTTTGATATCTCTCGTTGAACTAATTTATATTGATGTGAAAGTAAATATGTGAAACAAGAAATGTTGTCAGCCGGAACTCTAATTTTATGTAACAGTTGAGATCTCTGCTATTCATATTTTTGACAATCTAAAAGGAAATGGATCTCATCTTCAATGCAATTATTACAAAATTGGCAAAGTCTGCTATTTATTGGTAATTTTGGGATAGAATGTCTGCCTTTTTCAATAGCCAAACTATGGTCGCTAACTATGGCCTGAATTTAGTGAACATTTTGCTATTTTCACCATTCAAATTAAGTAAATAAAGCTCCAAATTGTACTTTTTTATAAAATTTTGGATATGTTCCGAGTTCAGAATATTTATTAGATATAGCAGTTCTCCACTTGTTCACATACCTACTTTGTAAATTTGATTGTAAAATTTTACTAATTCTTGGTATTTGTGTTTTGATGATTTTGCTTTTCAGAAGAAAATCTAATTATGCTTCCTGTAATATGGTTTTAAGATTAATGAACCAACTATTTGATATAGATGACTTTTTCTGTTCATAGAATGCCTGTTTAGTTATCATCTGGTAATTCTACGATATGCAGCCAATATTTTATTATTTGTTTTTTGATGTCAATTATAAGGGTATATTGAGGATATTGCCCCAAGCCTGTTCTTGCTGCTAGAGTACATGAGGTCCTGTTCATCTGCAAGATTTGCTTACAAAACATCAAATCGTGTTTTCTTCCATTTGTTGTTGTTGATGAAACTTTGTCTCCATACCACTGATCCATATAGAAGGATGGATTTTATAAAAACGTTAAATAAGTGTAAAGAAAGTTTAATATTTTTATTATCCCATAGTATTTTGTTCATAGCAAAAAGTGCTTTTCCTGCTTTCTCTGCTATATTGGCTGTTGCCTCATTGAAATTACCATTTGAATTGAAAATAATCCCTAAATAAATATGCTGTTTATTACATTTAATGCATTGGTTGCCTATAGTAAAATCTTTTTTGCAGTGGTGATTTATTGAAAAAAGCAGTTTTCAGTTTTAGATATGTTTATTTTAAGTTGCCAATTTGAGCAATATTATTCAAGTTTATTCAAAGCTTGTTGAATGAAGTCCATCTGATGTAGTGGAAATAAGAGCCATGTCATCTGCATATATTAATGAGGTTACTGGTATATTATTTAATGTTGGTGGTTGATTGAGTGAATGAATGAAGTTTATTTCATTATAAACATATATACATACAATAATATACAATTAAATGTGATATATAAACAAATTAGTAAATACAATTATGTTAATAAGTGTGTAATTTGAATTTTAAATATATATATATATATATATTTAATCACGAAAATAGTTCCTTAGAACTAGTCTAGTCATGACCCTTTGTAAAGAATGAATAAAATAACCATAAATAATAATATTAATAAGTTATATACAGGTACATAGTTGCACATTTAAATAATTGTATAGATTCAAAATCTTAAATTGACAAAGATGAAAGAAATAACTGATTGAGCATTTTTGG